TCCTGGTATTTCTGCAGTTAATATAACAGCAGTCTACTTCGCACAGTTTGGGTATCCAGAAGAGCAATTTTGAATTCTTGGGGGGTTTATTATTCCATTGTAATAATCTGAGATTTTCTATACTGTCACATGGATTAATAGTGCAAATGGAAACCATACAAACGTTTCAGCAGCTTTAGTCACAATAAAAACAGCAAAAGAAAGCTATGGCAGTAACAGCCATAAAGCTAAGGATATCCAGTATACTCAAAACATAATGGACAAACCTTGCTCTAAAATATGTGCAACTAAATATAGTGATGTCATGTTTAAAAAATAGTTTGTTGATTCAGTTAAATAGTCTTCCTTTCCCTTACATATTTTTAAGCTTCCATCAACAGCTGAAGTACTGCAGAAGGGGTTGTCCTATATACTGGGATACATACAGCCCAGTTAAGGACCCTATCAAAAAGAGAAGAATGATACAAAAGTGAGGGGGAAAACAAAACAAAAAAAAAAGAGTGCAGAAATACAGTTGATGCAGAGACAGGCTTAAGAGAACAGGAAACAAATGTGAGGAAATGGAAGGGAAGAGAAAGTTTTCAGAAGTGTTTTTGTTGCCTCAAAATAAAAAATGTCTGCTACTCAAGTGAACACAGACTGAGGGAGAATTTTTCATCTTCCTGACTAAATGATAAATTACAATAAAAGCTCTTCTTCTGAAGATGCAAACAAAACCAGAACACAGTTTTATTTCACATTTTTACCAGCACTGCATTGGAAGGGATGCACTGAAAGGACACAGTGCCCATCCCTAGGGCACTGAAAGACAGAAAAGTTTAATCTAGACTTCTAGAATCCCCATCAAGTATCAGATTATGCAAGAAAAATTAACACACATATGCCTGTAGCAATGTGTCTATGAAAAGATGTTTTCCTTCATTCCAGCTAGGAAATCTGGCACTGCTCCCCAGGTGCTTTTTGCTACCTATGCTGAAGATTACCATTGGCTAATTCGTCTGCCCAGCAACATTGTTTATGATTCCGTAATTCACTTCAGGCAAAATCCAGGGGCAATCACACTGCCAATTTAATTTTTTTGAGATAATGTGGTGGATTTTGTATGTAGCAAATTAGGGAGTACTCACACAGAGGCAGCAGAGGAATGGCTGGGTGATAGTCCTGATGGTGTGGTACAAGGAGCAGATGGAAACATCAGCCTCTTTTAGCAGCACAGCTAAACACGGAGATCTGTCAGGGGCTGTGTAAGCACAAGAGCAAACTACTGTGTTTCACTGGCACCTCTAATGCTGCAGGACAGGCTTTCACATTCTGACTCCCATGGAAAATGAAAAGGCAAAAATAAAAAGAATTTAGTGTTGTCGAGTAGTTCTCCAAGGCAAACCAGCTGAGAGTTAGAATAAAAAAAAAACAAAAAAACCCTTCTCCTTTAAATTCCATCTATTCTTCCTGATTTATCCTGCAGAGAAATCATAATCCTGCAACTGATGAAACCATAGCATGTTACCTTGGTAACTGATAACTCAAATTCAGTCTTAAGAATACACTCAAAGGTCAGACTGCATGAAAAGTTAGGCTAAGAAAGGTATAATTCATGTTGAAAGGTAAGTACAAGAAAAAAGTGCCACCAATATTTCTGATTACAAAGATTCCATACAAGAAATACTAGCACTTTGGGGAAAAAAAAAAAAAAGATCACACAATGTCAACACTGAGATTGCAAATATAAACCTATTTTAGGAAGATCTGAATATATGCTATGACAACATCTATACTTATCGGAATATACTATTGCATCAAATTATTGTCCTAACATTTTGTACCATCTAAAGTGAACCCACGTGCATTCTTTGACATCTTTTTCATTACTATATGCTTGAAAATAAATTGTATTAAAAGAGTCAGGCTTCACTAACATAAGCAAACATTTTACCCCATACGTTAAGGCATACTCTTCAACGTTTTGGTCAAAACCCTAGATATTATCCATTTTTCTTTACAAACAGTAGCACAACTTTTCTGGAGTGATCAACTCCAGCACTGAAGCAATTTCAGACTCAAAGATATATCTGGGCCCATACATATGCAGTGCTAATGAAATACATTATTCTCCAATGGTATAATACATAATCTCAAGATATGGCAAGCTTGTCACATATGCAATGTTTGTGAATTGTATGTAACACAGAATTCTGTAATTCTAGAAATGTATCTATGGGTGTAAACACAGTATGATTTTATATCTATGAAAAAAATATGAAACCATACAAGCAGGCTTCAAATATAAAATAGAGCAGAATTAAGGCAGAATTTATAATCCTAAACTTCAAATCTCAACCTCTGTGTAGGTGCTTCATGGTGCATCCTCATGGCTGCATGTCAAACTTCAAGAGAGGGCAATGCAGAGGAAAACAAACATAAACCCATGCTCTCACAGAGAAGTGAAGCATGAAAATTCCTGGCCCCAAAGGCAGTGGTTTTGAAAACCATTAGGCAACCAACTTTGGCACACACCTGGGTGGTTCTTCAGAAAGCTCCATCTTTTAAGTTTGTCCTATAAAATAAAGCCATTTTAAAACTTCTCCATTTCTACATGACCTTGAAAGTCCTATAAGCTGTCAAAGGCACTGCACAACAGTCTCAGGAAAACATCATCAGGAAATGATGTCTTCCTCAAAAAGTAGAACATGGAAACAAAGTGATCTGCCCCACAAAGCTCCTGCAGTTTCCATGTGATGGGGTGTTGCAGAACACTCAGCCCAACTCAACACAAGCACTGGCTCTGCTCTCACAGAAGGGCACTTGTACTGATTAAAGAGAAATAGGGAAGGCCCTGAAATGAGGAAAAAATAATTTATTCCAGTGCCATAACATCTTGATGTCTTTTGTGTCCTCGGCCTGTCAGCTGCAGAAGACAACTCCTCAGCTGAATGAAACACATCTATAATTTTCTAACCATTACAATTATCATTATTGCTTAGCAAGAGGTACCTTTCATTCTATTTGATGACTGCTTATTACAGTACTTAAAAGCAAATAACTTTTAAGCTTTTTTGGCTTTGTGAGCTAAAAGATCTAACCAACATTTCATTTGCTGTGTAGGGTGTGAGCCTCAATCAAAGCCAAGAGTACGCTTTTTTATAACTAGACTAGAAAGACTCAAATGGACTGATTAAATACATTTCATGGCTTATACTAAACAACAGAGGTCATGTTCAGGGGATGAAGAGAGTGAAGGAAAATCTGTAAACACTCAGGTTGCTAAGCATGTCAGAAAGCATCCAGAAAGAGTTATTTTAAATCATTAGGTTTTTTTCAGACTGGAGAGGGAGGGGGAAATCTGAAGTTTTGTTCCATGACTATGGAACACAGATAAAAACCAATATATGCATGTCTATGTATACACATATACAAATGCACTGCAATTAACTTGGGGGAAGTTTGGGTGAAAGTGTACTACTAATTTACCTGCAAAACATTTCTAATAGACATACTGGATTTCTGCTAAGAACAGCCGAAAACCTTGTTAGCATAAGAGGGAGGAGAAGAGAGGCACAAAACAGATATTCAATTTTGTTCTTTTAATCAAAATCAGTATTCTTGGGTTCACTTTCTAAAGCTTCTTTCAAGTTGGCAAGTACACCTACCTCACTGTTACCTTCTTATCTGAAAAAAATCTGAAAAATGTTGAAAGCTGTGTTGATACTTTCCACCTGCAAGCCTTCACTAGAGAACAAAGATGATATAATCTCTCTAACATTACAGGCATACTTGCCTGGTAGACAGAAACTCAGAGAGGAAAACAGATAAGAAATACTCTGGTCACTGGACTATTCATAGAAAAACAAGTACAACACATGTGGCACTGAAAACAAGAATTCCAGGATGCCAGCACAAATCTCTTATACTGGTAAAAATGCTGACGCTGCAGCTACATTAAAATTCAATACTACAACCAAAATCTGTTGCATAAAACTCACTGGTAGTATCCAAATGATAAACAGCTGAAAATATGGTTTTAATTCTTACATAAGGAAGAGATTAGAAATGAGTTCTAATAACTTTGAAACCCTTGATATAAAATTCTCATTAAAATCTGCCAGCAAAAAAAAAGAACGTGTAAAGGAAAATATAGGAAAAAATACACAATTAAAAAAAACCCAAAAGGCCAAAATACAAAGCTTCATAAAATAAAGTGATTGTGGGGGTTTTGTTGTTTTGTAGGAGGTTTTTGTTTAACTGAAGAGTTGCACAAGAGTTGGTTCTGATTTCCTTGTATTTGGACTACCACCATTATCACTAAGGAGATGTTTAATTTGTTGTAACACACTGGCACATCAGAAAGTCTGTCAGATTTATGAAGCAGATCTAATCTATGCTTAGAGAAAGCAACAAGGGATGTAGCCACAGAGGAAGGTCAGATTGGTGACAAGAACCTGCCATGGACAAAGTTTTCTTCACATCACCTAATGGAGTCACTCTACTTAGCCATCAGTATTGACACAGATCAACAACTGTATTCGGGGGAAAAAGGAATTTCAGCAAATCAGAAGACAGAAAAATCAGTATATATAATTTCAGAAAAGTGGAAGGGTTTACAGAATGACACTAAAACACAATGTTCACCTTTTCTTAACAAGTTCCCTATGGGATAAGACACACTCAAATATACCATTTTGAAAAAACAAATTGGAGTAAAATCTAAAATAAATTAAAGTACATCAGCCTTCAAATGAAAACATGTAGTTTCAAAAGGCTTTCATTGTAGCACAAAAAATTGAACATGGCAAGCAGTTTGAACATACAACAAAGCTGTAATTTGATAAATAGCTGTCCATCATTCAAGGCTACTGTTGTGCAAAACCCCGCTATCAGCACCCTTGTCAAAGATACTATTGACTCTTCTCTGTATCACCTTTCTGTGACTTTTTCCATTTTTATTTACTCTATTCAATGATTTATTTATTTATTTATTTATTTAAAAAAAGGTTGCTTACTACCTGTATGCAACACCTTGCAATCTGCTGCTGATGGGTCATTTTCACCCTCTTTAATGTTGCTGATGTTGTCTTTTTCAAGCAGTCTGTCCACCATGGCAATAACGCAGTTTAAACTCTTTCCCACATTGGCCCACACCCTGTCCTGAAAAGAGCATAATTATCACTGCACATTACTGAAGGAGAAGAAAAAACCAAAACAAAACAAACAATACTAACTTCTTGTTAATAGCTTAAAGTGCAGACAGACATATGCAAATTACTAGAAATATTAGGTGTCAACATATGACCATTCTTCTCATTCTTCAGCCTACTACCTAGTGTTTTTCATGAAGTTTTTTCCTGTAGTAAAAACTACCGACCTGAAATTGTTTGGATTTTTTAGACACTGGAAAACACATTGTTTCAAACACACATGAAAACGCATGCAAAGCCTCAGGTCCATCCGCAAGGAACTGCGCAGTTTGTCTATTTGAAATAACACAGTAAGAGAGTAGACGTTCAAAGCCCTGCCAAATCAACTGCCAGTTTTGCCATAGTACTTGACAACCTCGTTTTCATAATTTAACATCCCCTCTATTTTATCACATCAGATACTCTGTTAAAACCAATGTAAAATTAAAGGACTAGAATTAAGAACTTGCTGTCATGACATGTTTATTAGGTAACACAATTTCAATTTCATTCTTCACCTCTCACGGAAACTGCAACCATCACACTTAGCTGAGTTTATAATAAATATGAGAATTACAGAAGTAATAGAGTGATAGAAGACATTCTGTACAAGCAGAGAACAAAAGATATAGAGTAGTCAAAGAAAGCTATTATGGAACAGAGATACAGAAAGTGTCTCTTCAGGTGCTGGATGCTGCACAAATTGAAGTTCTTGCACCTACTTTTGCGGGGCTGAATAAGGAAAAGAAAGAAACGTAGCCATACAAGAAATGAGACTGTACACAATGGGCTAGCAATCAGACTAAAACCAAAATATAACAAACACACAAAACCCCCTCATGGATGTGATTTAATGCTGAGTCATTTTGAAACTAATACAGAATAACCAGTTTGCTTGAGGGTTAAAAATAGGAAGATAGTATCCTTGCTCTTCTTTCTACTTTATGATATAACAGCCAGAAGCGTTATGTATATGTCAGGCCTTGAGGCATAAAAATGGAGTTGAAAAAGATGACGAGAGAGGAGGTTAACGAAAACTGAAAACTCAGAGAAATACCATAGTTCCTTATAAATGGTAACACTTGGAAGTTGGGTGAAGGCAAAGTTAGAACTACTACTAAGGCAAATATTTAATCTAAGATTTATTTTTAAGTACATGCCACACTGCTTAGGCCATTATCCTGACTAGAGGGATCTGATCTTGCCTTGCTTCCTTCACTTGTGGGCACAGCCTGTGACAAGCAGGCATCCTGCCCTGAGGGACCTGACCCAAACCTGCAGACAGAAGTGTGGACTTGCTGAATCTGTACAGCGACACAGATCCTCTCCCCCAGCTCCCAAGACCTGATTCCTGGAAAGATCTTGTAGGGCTGCCTTGAAGACAAGTGAGCATCTAGTGTTATAGGAGGATGCGGAAACTATGGTTTGATCCTCTCCCTAGATAAACCCATGCCTTAACCATACTATAAAAAAGGTTTTGTTGATTTATGAGGGGCAAGAAGCTGGTCACTCTCATGCAGAGCTGCATTTATTCCACAAGTTATTTTTAAGTACTGCATGTACAATGCAATGAGTGGAAATATCTGCACCTGTATGCATGAAATAAACCATTGGAAACATACAATATTCACTTGCGTAGATATACAATTTAAAGCCAAAGAAAGAGGACAGGTATAGACCGTTTCAAAAGTTTCATCCTGTATGTACCTTAAGCATTCCTGAAAAGCATTTAAAATATGGGTGAAATGATTGATTTTGACCACCCACAAGTATTATTTTGGGGAGAAAGACTCGATGAAGAGCAATAAAATACTGAAAATAGTAAAAATTCTGGCTCCAAATAGCTGCAAGTTTTACCAGAGAGTAGCAGCAAACTTCAGACTTTCTAGTCACTGAAGTTGCTGAGGTAAATGAGCTGAAGCGGTTCAGTTGTGGCTGCAGCAATGAAATTTCCCTTTCCTCCCTCTGCTGGGGGAGTTTAATCCTGACACAAAGAATGTTAAACTCTTAATGAGCATCTGGAGTTACTGCACAAACACTACAAATACGAGCACTTGTTTCATTTTGGAAAGAACACTTTTCTCTTTTCAAACCAACTATTAACCCAGCATTGAGATGATGTCTATACAATCTTCACACAAACATTCCCCGAGGGTTTAGAAGCAAAATTCATAAATATCTGTTGACAGAAGCCTCACTCCTCTTATCATATATCTGGTTATTTTACACATGGGCAAGTGAGAGGGAGCAAGGGCCTGTCCCACACCTTTTTCCCCACCCAGGAGGTTCCTGGGATTAGAAGCTATCCTTATAGGCAGATAGAAAAAATAGACACGTCTACTGTTCATTGAGATATTATTCTATCTGCATCAAAGACGGCCACGTTTTCCCAAGAGGGCTGCTGAAATTCTGCAGTTTGGTAAGGAAAATTCTTGAGTAAAAATGTAATTTCCAATCAATGAAAATCAAGTGACTCTCTACTGTTCTCCACAAAAAGAAATCCATCCATTATCACATTCTTAGTCATCCATAAAAATTCTCATGATATTTTCCTGTTGCCTAGCACACTTTCCACCCACCTTTCACCTTCTTAAGTGGTCTATTTTCAATTTGTCTAAGAACCTCACAAGTGATCATTTTGCAGCATGTGCCAGGTTAAAGGACAAAATAGTCCCACAGCCTCTCAAGTAAGTGTTCTCATATTCCATACTCTTGCGTGAAAGAACTAGAGAAACAAGGTCTCTGGCTCCGTCTTATTCCTGCTTCTTTAAGCTCAAAAGTCAAGCCGATGACAGGGAAGGTGGAAATCTGGAAGAAGGCTTGACCCCACTGGGACAAGGCAATGACACACCGACATCTACTTCCTCCAAATCTCAGAAGCTATTTGGGACATTAAGGAGACCCGGCACATGTGGCAAGGTGTTGCTAGTTGGAAATAGCCATAGTTGTACTTCTCTTGCTGCCTCTGCTGTGGCACTGACAGGCAGGCATATGTTCTCATAATGATCTCCATGAAAAGCTAGACCTTGGCATCACAGAAAGCTGTGCACTTTTCTTAAGACATTTAAAAACAAACCGGTAAAATAACTTTCTTTCATCCACCCAATTCAGAAAAGGTAATTAATTTCTATCTTCCCTGAAAGTATCATTAAAAGGCAATACAGCTCCCTCACTTCAGACGGAAGGAGTGGAAACTATCTTCCTGCCATTGCACCCGACTGTATGTCTTCCTCTTAAGCACTACCAGGCAGTAGAGCTCCAGAGGCTGTCTTTTTGTTTTTAAAGGATTCTCAGACTTTCTGCATTCATTACAGAGCCACCTCTTGTCCTTCCACATCTACCACTACAGTTGTGTGCTTTATTTGTGCCAGGTATGACACAGCAACTGCATTTCTCAGTGCTCAAGATGCTGTGTCTCCTTCATGTGGGTTAATAGCCATATATTACCATAAGGTCCTTTTGAGGTATGCTCACAGATAAAGCAAATATCTTAACTAATGGGCATAATTAACACCCTCTTGTGATGTGACAGTGCTTTGGAATGGAGTACATCGCACACAGGTCAGTATTTCAGACCTGTCAGTATTTCAGACCCGTGTCTGAGCACCATGTCAGTATTTGTACATAAGTTATTGGAAATGCCATTTTATCTCTTCTTGGTAGCTCCAACCACGTCAAGTAGTCAGTCAGAAATGTAGAGCAGAAACAGCGCCAAGTAGCAACGTGCCCACCTTTTCTTGTATTATACATGACAACATGCTTTGTTCCCTCCTGCAGGGAGGTTCTAGGATAACAGAAGCAGCTAGCAAGACGAGAAGAGAGTATCTACCCAGAGGCAATCTAAAACTCTCAAGTTAAATATTTTTCCTTCCCCAGTAACACTTTACTACTGCCTACATGTAGTACACCAATATAAATGGCTCAGTCCATACTGCTGTCACTTACTCTGTGATGAATACTTGTACTTAGTATCAAAGAAGAGAGGTGGAACAGAGTATTGCTATAGAGAAGAAGGCTTTTTGGAAAACACTAGTCACTCACAGTGGAAGGTCACCCTGCATAGTCAAGAAATTGGGAGTTATTCCTTAAAGATAAATTTGGATGCCAGGGATGGGAGTGGATCTCACCTAGTTTTTAGACACTGCCTTGAATTCACTTTCATAATGGTCGTGAAGTAATGCAGTCATCAAAAGTGGATGGAACAGGGTCAGCTTAAAGAGTTGTTGGATGTCACTGATTTAGATTTCCGGCAAAAGCAAAACTGAAATTCCAATTGTAAAATGAAACTCTAGTGCTTGATAATAGTGGGAAAAAGAAAAAAAACACAACCAAACAACACACCAACAAAGGAGGATATAATACTGTGCATACAAAGCAATATATCTCAAAGGTTTTTGCCATTATAGTGGACTTTGAGAGTAGATTGAGCTTTTTTTCAAATTTTGTATGCATTTATTCTTTCTCTTCTCATCATGCTAATGACAATTTGATCATTAAAACATTACTCACTACCTTCACTGACAGAAAGAACTGAAAAATAATAGAAGACTAATCTTTCAAATTTAGAAAAAAAAAATCTCTATACTGTCTCAAGTTTGACAGTAACTCTGACTCAGTTTAACTGAGAAAATACACTTGATTTTAACCAAGCCAGTAATCTTCCTAATTTAGCAGAAAAAAATAGATACACTTTAAACTAATGTGCTTATATGTTTTAACATGAAGACCAAACACCTGGCAAAAATACATTTAAAAAAAAAAAAAAAGTCAGTAATGAAATACAGTAAGGCTAGTTTCTCTGCCGAGACAGAAGTACTAAATGAAAATACAACTTGCACAAAAATGCCACTTTTCCAATGCAAAATTTCTCTCTTTGATTAAATCTATTCTGATTATTTATTTTTCTGAATGTTTCAACAGGTGGAAACAAACATTTTGGCTTTCATTTCAAGGAAAGGAGAACCCTGCTAACCCCTCTGGTTGTTGAGATAACATGAAAAAGTGAATTCAAGGCTCTAAAACTAGAAGACAAATAAAAAAATGAGTTATTTATTGTTTAAATCTCATGACTACTTAATGCATGGGGCTGGAGATAATTGTCTTTTCTCTAGAGGAAATATATTCTTCTTCCCTTATTTGTGGTATGGATAAAAGTTACAGTTCAGGTGTAAGTACTGTAGCTCACACAAGTTATTAATTATTTACAAAAGAGATTATAATATGTTGGCATCCTTTACATTTATGAGAATACAGTGATGAACTGAAAGTATGAGCCTGAACTGAATATAAATAGTTTGAGTTCAGTGTGTATGTAACAAAGAAGCAGATCTATTATGAACACATCCATCAAAATAATTAATTTACAAAATCTCAGCCATATAAATAATATAAATCTTTGAAGATATGCTGAGAATATTTAAATCTAGAAGCCATGTTTGAATCTTTCATGCAATCTCAGACATCGTCTAAGAACAGAGTCTAAGGGAAAACATCTCTGTTTTGCTGAGGCTTAATTCATGTGTATTTGAACTATTTATATTCAGCCTTGGGGCAGGGGGGGAAGAATTTTCCCTCATAATAGCATATGCTGTTCCAGTCTCCTTAAATCTGCCTAACTAGCAAAAAGAACTCAAGTAAGAGCAAGGGAAGACTGTTTTCCTGCCTGAACAAGAAGATATTCACCACCCTCACTGTTACATGAACACCAAGCAGTCACACAGAAGCACACTGTACTTCAGAAATTTTTTTCAAGCTAGTTTCAAAATATACAATGCATCTGAAAAATATTACTTGACAGTTTCGCACTCCTTTCTGTCCCCCGTCCCTTCCCCCCCGTAACATGTGACAAGGGCACTTACAGCTTGTAGTTGTTTATGATGATTTGTAGGGTTTGGGATTGAATACCAACCAAGAGCTTTTGACTACTTACCCATTCTTCCTCATCATACTCAGAATGATGGGGTATAGAGTCTTGCCTTTTAATCTGAGAAGGATGATCCTGATGCTGTAAATCATCCCCCTCTTCTGCAGTGTTTCTAGGCACAGCTGGTTTCTTGAGGACACAGCCAGGCCGGGCTGTGTATAGTGCTAAAAGGGCACTTCTGACCAGCTGATCCTTAAATGCATGCACAAATAACTCTGTCTAGAGAAAAAAAAAAAAAAAAAAATACCAAAGAATGCATTACTGCAACATAGCTATTATAGCACTGAATTACCCTTAGGCAGAGTGGATATTTATTTCAGGCTGGTCTGAGGGGTGGAAAACGAAGTAGACCAACAATGAGGAACAATTCAAGGGTTCTAGGGACATCATCACATTCTACAACCCCAGTGTTCTAAGGATTAACACAGAATTACAGTGTCTGTCATAGAGATCATAATTTTTTTCACACAATTCTATTTTATTCAAGTTCCACATTTTGCCTGCAGTACCTCTACAAAAACTAGTTCCAAAAGTAAGCACAACTGCCCAATAATTTCCAAGTAAGTGTCAGATAGAACATGATTAACAAATTTCTTAAATAAAAACACACCACTCCACAGTGCTGAGACTGCAGTATCTGGAAAAGCAGTGTTCCCAGAGATAAATGTTGGTACCTGTAGGTATTAACCCAGATACCAGGCCATGTAATAACACTTGTTTTTTAGCTTTATTTTATTTATTTTTAAAGAAAGGAAACCTTGACAGAGTTTTTCCAGGCTCTTTGAGGATGTTATTCAATCACTATCATTTTTCTAAATCTTTCCTGTTAACTGTGACATTTGGAAGTTTTCTGTACTTTTAAAACCCCCCCCCCCCCCCCACATTATTTATCTCCTTTCCATCCCAACAAGAAAATGCTTTCTGCATATGGTCTGTAGTATCTAGACTGTCTCCAGGTAAGAGCACTTGCTGTTACCACCAGGCTGCCACACACAGCCATCTCCTGACATCACACACAACATGTGGCCCTACCTCTGCTACTCTTCTTAGGAGGTTGGCCTGTTCGCCTATTCAGCTGACACAACTTGTTGAACAGGAGAGGGTGAGGTGCAGGGACATGTCTCCTTTCACTACAGGGCGGTAACCACTAGTGAAGCCATAGTGACAAACGGCTGGGGAGAGTCACAACTTCAGTTACTTCATTCAACACCTGTCAGAGCAGGGAAAGCACACACCCTGCGCTATACCACAGCACAATTACCTGAATTTATTTATCCCAGGTCAGTGGGATTTAGTTACCTTCTTATTTACCCAGAACATAGTGGAATGTCAGGTGCAGATTCAGGTGCTGAACTGCCTTTGTGAGCACAATCTTAATTAAACAGGCATGCAGGAAAGTGTGTAGATAAGAGTCAGAGCAACCAGCCTGAACAAGCACTCACACAAAGCTAGGAAATAATAGAAATAAAGGTTGCCCAGCCAAGCCTCATTCAGTCCTTTCATGCTTATGCAAAATCTGGTGGAGAAATGGCAAAAAACCCCAAACCAAGCACGTTTCAAGTGTCAGCATCTATCTTCCTAGAAATCTTTTCTCCCAGCTTCTGCACTTCTTACTTCTGTTCTTATCCCATCCCTTTCTGCTAGTACTTACTCCCTTTTTGTTTGCCTCTACTCCCATTCAACTTATTTTTCTGGCTTTCCTGCCTCAGTACCCCCTCAGAAGTTTACTGATATTTAGACCACAATGCTTTAAATAATTGATGGTTTTCTTAAAGCTTCAGCTGCTGGATTAGGTACCTGCTTGAGAAGTTTCTGTTTTTTCCCATTTTCACGATGATTCTTAATGGCTGCACATAGAAAGATTGAAAAATTGCTGCAACTAAAACTCAAAAGTCTTAAAAATAAGAACCTTAGGGATATCTAAGCTAAGTTATACTTTTTTAAACCAACATCAGGACTTTTTAAATCAACATTAGACCTGATTTAGGATTCTTTAGTGATTTGGCTTGGCAACACTATTCATCTCCCTGGCAATTTTACCAGACCCATTCTGTCTCCTCCTTACTATTAAATTGGTGCCTGAGGGAAAGGGTGTTTAAATAAAGACAGGGGGGTTTTATATGTAGCCCTTCAGGACTGCCTCGTGGTCATCCTGAATTGTAGAAAACTGAAATTGCCCTATATTGCATTTCCAGACTCCACATGGTGTATGCTCAGTGAATAGGTAGTCTTTGGGCAACACTGCTAGCAAGTGATCTGCCAATCTTTGATAAAGAAGAGGCAGACTTGTGGAGTTGTCTTTTCTTGAATGATAAGAGCAGACCTCCTCTTCTACAGTTCCATATCAAGAGAATCCAAACTACTTTACTTGTCTGTCCTTAGAAATGACAACATCATGGTTTTGCTGAGGTTTTGTACCTCCCCTCCTCCTCGAAGTCTGCTTGAGATGATTTCAGGTCCCAGCATCAGGCACTGTAGACTCATAAAAGCTTTAAATTTCAGAAAATTCTAAGCATTGGACAACTTGAAGTAAGGAATGACCGCTATGACTGCAATGTATATTAGGTAACTATCTGAAAAGTTTAAGTAATTTAATCTAATATAAATATATTTATAGGGAAAATTCATTTTAAAAAGCAAAATGGCATGGAAACGAACCTCCATTTTTTCATATAGAGACTAAAATGCTTTTGTAATTAAATTCTGTTCAGGGATTCCATTGGTTTAACAACAATCTACATTTTAACTGCATTTTCTTACAGCTCAGTACAGCTAAATTTGCAGAACATCACTATTTATAAAATTGTATTGAAATCACAAAATGAGTCTATACAAAGAAATGAAAACTTTGCAAATTCTTTTAGATACTTGACTAAAGAATATTTCTGCAAACAAAGATAGGCATAGCTGGAAAATGAATTTATCAAGCCTTCTGCAAGCTGCAAATGCAGATACACTTGTCAACACCTAAAGGCTTCTTTAATCAATTAACAGAAAGTGTTGATAAAAGGTTAGTCTCAGGGAAACACTACAGTAATTACAAATCATATATGGAGAAGTAAGACCATGCTTAATATGAGAAAATAAGCTCAATTTAAAAAGCAGCAGTGGAACTATTTGATTTAATTTTCCACTTCCAATGCATGCAGACAGTCCTTTCATTTCTAACATAAATACTTAACACATTATTGATAGCTCAGATATACTCCCTGCTACCTAATGTTTTTAGAAAGAATTATTCTATGTATCAAGCTTAACATTATCTTAAAATAAAAAAATGACATGTTTTTTAATGAACTTGAGGAATTTAATCACCAGGCAAACAATTTTTATGACTACTTCAATCAGCTGTTTAATTTCTAAATTCTGTCAAGTTAAAATGCAAGAGAGCATTTCTTTTTCACGTATAAAAAGTATAGAAAAGGTGGGAGAACAGAGGCACCTCATATGCCTCAAGAACACAGGTAGACATCATGTAATTCTATTCAGAAGAGCATGCTAACCTATCAAATACAATCAGCAATGCTGTTACTCTTCGTTCTCCTGTACTGTACCAGACTATATAGACAGGTTATCTTAGGGTATTGAGGTGATGCTTCGTATTAACACTAAGGGATCTCATTGCAGCACCACGCAGGTTCACTCTATTTGAGATTTTGAAGTTTATCATCACCCTTTCCTGAAGCTGCTTCTTGGTCTTTCCTTTCCTCCGCAACTCTCTTCCCTTCTTTACAATCAGCTGTCCCTCCACACTACTTTCTTCAGCAATGGGCTCTTTCTTGATTATTATATTCTCAGATAAATTTGGGAATAGACAGGGAAGCAGGTATTCATGCAGCACTTGTTCAGAAAACTGGATTCATTTCTACCAAGCAAGAGGTGAAGGCTAGGTAGAAACTATAGGCTGTCAGGTGGACTGCAGTGGGTGACCTGGGAAGCTGTGCTCATATACTCACCAGCAATTTAAACCTGGCCCTGGAAACTCGATATGTACATAAAAAAATTAAATCACCAGCTCTAAATTTCAAATATCTGTGACTTTTCCAAACTGAACGGACTGTCCTTTTTGGTCCTTTTGTGCAGCCAGACTCTCCAATAGGCCATGGTTCAAAGAGTGGGTTAGGATCTCAGCCGCCTGCAGCCACTCTGAAAATGTTCACTCCACCTGCCCAGAACAGGCAAAGGTGGGATGGGCAAAACAAATGGCTATAGCTAACATACAAATTCCTCAGCAACCAGGTCTTGAATCTTCAGAACAAACACTTCTTTGTTTGATTTGCTTTACTTGTACACGTACATTTCTTTGAACTAACCACTAAGAGAGCAGCTCTGCTTTTTCCACGGACAGCTAAAAATGGTCTCCTTCACTACTACATGGAAACGTACACTATAATTGCCATCAAACCCCCCTGAATTCGTCCCTTTCATTTCCAGGCTGAATTCTACTTTCCTGTATTATCCCCGACATTCACAGGAACCCCAATGTTCTCAAGAGTTACTGTGGATTTACACACGTGTAACGGAGAGCAACGTTTATCTCCCCTGTGGCTCCAATGCAATGCCTTCACAGTATGTGACTAAGTTCAATATTCAGATTTGAAAATTCTCCCATTGAACGATGTACTGCTGGGATAATAGTGCTCAACAGACCACAGGGGTTGCCACTTCCCAATAGCTGAAGATATATTGAAATGGTTATTGATAGCGTTATTAAGCCATATTGAGAACACATTACAGAAGGTATGGCCCATGAAGCGATGGGAAATTTTTTTCCAACCCCTCTGGTCATAGCTATAGTGCTTAATATTTTTACAGGATAACATATGCTTAAAAGTACTTCAGACTTCAGCTAATCTCCACTATCACTCTGTGAGACAGGTGGAAAATATTATCTTTCTTAATTTAGAGCTAAAGAAACTAAGATGAGCAGGAGCCTACAGCTACAGAGGAATATAACAGGAGAAAGCGGATTAAAATTTGAGAGACCTCCTGGTGCCAACTTCCTAGCTTCTCCTTCCAGACTGCATCACCATTTCTGATCACGCTATTATTCTAAACCTTATGCACAAACCCGGCTTGAACTACCTCCCACAAGCAGCAGTTTGAAGTATCACAGAAAGAGAAATAAAATAACCATTTATCATACCACAAAATTATTTACAGTAATCTATTTTTGATAAACCCCAGTATGTAGCCACTAGAGGATAACAAAGACACATGAAATTAAATTAATTATACTTTCAAATAAAGACAACCTTTGTAGATTTCATTAATTTTCTACATGGAAAGCCTACAGAAATGCTAAACACTATTCTCTTTCTGATAGCAACATTCTGAAGCTTATTTTAGCAGAGTTATTTAACATTTCCTGATGTTATGAAAGTCAATTTATGCAGAAAAAAACCCAGCAGTTTGAGACTTGGTTATTCCTTTTTCCATTGCGGTTAAGATTTGAATCTTACTTTTTCTGAAAGCATCTTTAAAGAATTCTTCAAGCTGTCTGGAGAATGCTGGCTTGCAGAATTTAGCAGCAGGTCTGCATGGCTTGATATGAGAGGTTGTAGATTATTGATGTTGCTGAGAACTTCTTTTGCCTTGGCTGTGTTTTCAGGTGAATAGTAAATACACTGATATCCAGTACTGCAGTAACAGAAAAAGAGTCACATAATGTCAAAATAATTTCTGCTATTAATAGCAATGCTTAATGTGCTAAAAATCTTACCACTAGTTTTGCAAAAAAATGACAGATACCTGAGCTTGACTGATATTGAAATTCTCCTTTAACGGCAAAACCAAATCCTTGCTTGAACAGTAGAGGGTAACAGACTGCCCGCCACCAAGCACTCCAAGTAGTAGTACTGTTTCAATCTAATCATCCCTTTGAGTGATTGATGTTAACATAAGAAAAACAGTTTTTAAATTTTTTTTTAAAGTAAATCTGGATAAATGAAAGGTTTGACCATGTCAGGTAATAATGACTAAGAACATAAGGCTCTTTATTTTTCCAGCTGAACACCCCATCACATTATTAACTACCGCACTAAGTCTTTCAAAATGAGCCATTAACGTTTAATTGATCAGTGGCCCACACTATGTTTTGATTAGCATCAGTGGTGTCCAGGAAGTGGTGATAACCAGTTATATGCCAAATAAAAACCATGTGTCTAATTTGCAAGAAAAGACACAGAAATGGGGTGTGGGAGTTAATTACTACAAAACCACACAAATGCATACTGAAAAATTCCTACTTCCCTTTTAACTATTCACAAACTACTGAAATTCTTTTGCATGACTTCTTTTCCTATCCCTCATTTTTTTTCCCCAACACTTACTAATTTTGCGATATCCTTTTACACCATTACTCCAAAATATCATTGTATACAGCATGCATACACTTACTGGTTCTTCACTGTAGTATACACCTCCCCACCTAAAACTCTTGTAGATAATCCTTCCCTTTACAAAGCCCTGCTTCAATGGTTCAGAAAAACTAACCAAAATCTTTTGCAGTTTCGATCAAACTATAAAGTTAACACAGGAAAAAATGTAACCAAGGAACTCCTGGAATGTTACACATGCCACAGCAATGTACATATTACTTCCCAGTTGGTTCTGTATGTATCTCCCTTTTTTTGTGTGTGTCTTTTCATCATACATTCTTCAGTTTCTTCCACCCTTTCCCCAGTGATTTAACTTTTTCTTAATTTTACATGTCAAGACCTGAATTTTGACACTCGTGCAATCCTTTGAACTTCACACATTGCTTTTCATTTCAGTCTTTTTTCAGATCTCTTCACTCCCCCATTTCCCCTTTGTGTCTTCTAGTGTCCCTTCCAGTTCCTCCTCATTAGTTTTCTACAAATTAGAAATTAAATTTAATTCAATAAAGGACACATGTAACACACATTCAGAAGTCCAAACGAAGTCACTTCCATAAAACTTAGAAGGCTTAAGTCTTTTGGCAAATAAGGATAGATTCAAGCAGTCTTAAAATTAAGCCTCTTGCTTAGATATTTTTCTCGGTTACAGTCCCAAATTCCACATTCCTCATCCTATTTTTCTGTCCTTCAACAATATCTCCATTTTTAGATCAATTCTTTGTAGAGGCAGTCAGGATGAATGGCATCTGAGCCAGTGAAGCTTTGCCATGATCAGTCATGCTACCAGCCACATCAAAATTACTATGCGTCTCCAATTTCCAGTCCACTACATGACTTGCTAGACTGTTGAGTGCAGAGATCAGAATTCTGAATATTTCAACAAAATGAATCGTATAAACTGTCTCTCCTAATGAATTGGGCAAAAAAGTCCTTGTCCCTCTGAGAAATGAGGAAATGGTCACAGCTCTGTCTTCAAGGTGGCAACAGTGTTAGTGAAATGAACGTCCAGAGTTAGATCTATCTCTACATTCACTGCAGCTCTCAAGTTGACAGACTCAGTAGAGAGGGCAGGGACAAAGAATAATAGTCTATGTTAATTGTAGTGAAGACATAGTCTTAAAAGTCTTGGTACTTCACAGCACTGAATAATCTTTAATTCCCCTTCAGGCTTCTCCCTCTCTTTATCAAACAGCTCTTTTGTAGGCTGAACTGGGCTAACCCTGTTATCAAGCTCACCATGCACATACTCCTTTCTGGGATTCCCCTTAGCCTTTAATTCCGAGATCATTTTCACCGATCTCCCACAGCTCTAAGCTTCGCTGAATATTGCAGCAGCAAAGCCACAGACAATGCTGTAAGAAAGGAAAGAGGGAAGAGAGATACTAAACCTGTGGGTAGGTCTCATTCTAATAAAGTCAATCATAGCTTTTAAATAAAGGAAATAGTGAAGAGAGAATGACTCTTTCCCCAGAATGAAGTGCTCTATCAGACCTCATTATTTGGCTAATTTTAAACATTTCCTGAACCCCTGAAAGCATGAGAGATTACTCAACATATTCCGTTTCTTTCAGAATTTGAGGGCAACTTCCCCCCTCCCCTCAAAAAAGGGCATAATTATTTTTCAGAATGGGGAGCATCTGAAGTTTCTAATTGTTGTGTCTCAACACTGTTGCATCTAAGACTAACATGGGATTTTCTGTGGCTTTACCATTCATGAGAAGACATTACTACTTCCAATTCACTGAAATATGTTTCCTTATAAATAAATGTTTTTAGATCTTGTTGCCGCATATAGCTACGGTATATAAGTAGTATTACTTAAAGGAAGCAGCTGCCAAGAGAACATATAGAGTAACTTTTCACAGGTATCCTAATGCAGAAACTAGATGAAGGGAATTACTAGTAAGAAGAAACTTTTGCATTAGGGCAAAGGCCACGTGGGTAGCTCCAGTGTGGGAAATCAGCAGCACTATGAAAACCTGCTTTGATATGTAAAATATATTATTTGTCATGTGCTTTTTGAAAAACTCTGTAATAATGTCTTCCAGGTTAAGTTTCAAAGCTTCCACTACGCATATCAAATCACACTTAATCATTTCCATATATTGACACCATCGTTAACTATGTACACATGACTGTCAGTGGTCAGTTGAGTTTTAAAATTGCTTTAATGACATTGTCGTGTAATTTGAATCAACATTACATTGACTACATCTGCCATTTTAACCCTAAATTAACAAAGTTTTTGCCTGAGAATAAATACTGCAATATGCTAAGTGTCTAATTTTTAATGACACTCCGAGTAACTCCACTCCTGCTGTTAACCGAATAATTTGTGTGACAGAGTTAAATTGTCACCATCTGGGACTGGTTTAAAATCTTTCAACACTGAACATTTGACCTCGCATTTTTCACAGTCAAAACTGCAGACATTAACATCAACTTGAAGTATACACAGGAAGAAAATCTACCTCCAGATAACCTCAAGATTATGTACAGTACTGAAGATACCAATTCAGTGGCTTATTTATGCATCACATGTATTCTATCTAAAGTGGGAATTTATGATCAAAAAGAAATTGCTACATAAAAAAAACCTCAGGACAATTCACTGCTTCTGGAAATGAAACTAAACCATATGATCAGTGCTGAGGTTTTGAAAACAGGCCTGACAGAGATCAGAAGTTAGAATTTTTTATTTTTTTTTTTAATTCCTTAAGATTCTTTTGCAAACCCAGAAATTCTAACTTTGAATACTGAGGAAAATTAAATTATGTTATTAGTTCTGTCTCTTTTATGAAGTCGAAATCTCCATGAATCTTTACCTTCAAGCAATGGTTAAGGCTGTATGCACAGACCTTCTCTTGCTGCTCTTCTATTTCCTCTTAATTCCTAACTGAACCCTTGGAATATGTCTACATCAATGCATTCGCTGGTAATGGGACATGAGCTTCAGTGAAAAGAAAGGTCAAGATGCCCTTCACCAGCCCTCTAGAGACCTAAGTAGGACAGATGCCACAGTGGCATAGGCAAATCTCATAGTGAATCTTCTAGGAAGACTCACTCCAGAAAGGTTGAATGCCTAGGGAAAGCTGTCCCCAGTTCTTCAAATTAATTTTAGGGTATCTTTACACTGGTGGAAAGATGCAAGTAACCTTTAACATAGGGGTGAATCTTATGCAGGGTAACTGAGCATGGTTCTTATCAGAAGAAAAAAAGGCATTGTGCCTTAACAGAAGCTTGAGCTAAAGGTGCCTTTCAGTGGAGCCTTTCGGCAAAGTCACAGATCCAGTCTCCTTGAGTTCATATTGATGGAAATTTCTTGCTCTCCAAAACATATTATCCTTTCTAACCTTCACATATAAAGCCCCCCTAAATCCTCCTTCCTTTCTTTTTCTAGCCCTAGTCCCCTTTCTTTTCAGACAAATATGCTCATAGAGCCTAGAAAATACTACCATGAGATTTTTATATCTCCACGAATAGCACAAAATTTGGCAGTTTCTCAGCAAAATTCCCAACATCCGTAATATATTGATTTTATGGTCAGTGAAAAAATGTTCATCTCCATGAAGTCTAATCTCTCTCTCTCACACACACAGAGATACACACACACACAAAAAAAAGGGGAAAGTGAGCCAAGAATAACATCTCTGTGAAAAGTGCTACACATGACAGGCTGTGGTTTCCCTTTGGGAATAAATGTTACAATTAGATCAAACACATATCATTATTATTTCAATATCATCAGGATTTTCTGTGAAACAGTACCATTTCCAGTTCCTCAGAGAATGGAAATGGGTTGAAGGTTATGCAACTCAGGCAATAGGAACCCTGGAGATCTCAGCATTAGTAAAATATCTGGTAAGGAATATGTTGGTCAAGGGACATGCTTCATGCCTTGGCCAAAAATCTAGGCCTTATCATACAAAAAAGAATCCTTTTAGACAGTTCAAACCCAAATTAAATTATTATGACTTTAAAAAAAAAACAACACTCCCCCCCCAATAAACAGTGGAAAATCCTTTTTAGCACTATTCCAGCTTTAAGCTTGTGCTAATTTAAAAGAGGAGAATTTCTAAAGAGCTTGCTAGAAATGGTGTACAAAAACATAGTGAATCACAGCATCTAATACAGCTTGTGGGACACCTCTGTTTTTCTTAGTACTGGGACATTAAAAATCTTGTAATCATAAGACTATGTGTTTTGGCTACAACAGAGATCATCAAATTAGATTTTAGATAAGAAAAAAAATCCTCAGTGTACCTTGAAAGTAATTTATGAATATTTCAACCAGTGAGGCATAACTTACAGAATGACTGCCTTAAATGTTCCTGCACAGCTGAGCTCTAAAAATAATAATTTGCTGTGCCATCTAGACTGATGAGAAGACAAGCCCTTCCATTTGCTGGAAGGAGAAGTAATCTATACTAGCGGGCCAACAGAAGACTGAATCTATGATCAACTGATTTACCTTCTGTATTAGCTAGAAATAAGGAAGGAAAACATAAAAAGAACAAGCCAATACAGCATCATGAAAAAAAATTCTAAAATAAAGGTGTATCATACACAGCTAATTAATATTCTGCAATGATTTGGCATATCTTAATCATCACAGTTCAATTATTTGAATTTAAATGTTATCATGCCTTAACATTATTTTAAAAGCATCCATTATTCTTACTGGTCTTATGAAGTTCGCTACTAAAGGGACAGACAGACTAGGGTCATGCCTCATAGACATGCCTGATGTTTGTCGTGGTAAAGCATTTTATCTCTCTTTTTGTTACAGATAAATAACAGTACAGATTGTGAATGGGTTATAAAATGATGGACCTGGCTTCAGATCACATACCACTAAGTCTCCCTCTTATTTTATTAGAATTTTAGAAATTTACCATCTTTTTTAATACAAATTGTTTGGTGGTAACAAATGAGAGAAAAAAAATGCAAGAATACTGCATTTTTTATAATTATTATTATACAATACCTTCCCCTCTTTCGTCTGCACAAAAATGTATATTCTATGTAATTATAAATACGCCAGACCTATCTTCAGATACACATTTTCCAAATTCTTCTGTTTGATAAACTTTCAAGAAACGTATGTTTCACTGTTGTTTTGATTTGGCAATTGCAGATGCAATTATGCGCTTGCAAAGTGGGGTATAACCTTGTTACCAGTTAACAGTTCCTCGTCTGTTAATTCCACGAGTATAGGTTTGAGCAAGGAATATTTTGAGATATGTCGACACTGTTGAATATTTCAATAAACTGTTCTAATAATCAGCCTGAAGGCCAAAAGCACGCAAGACGTTCAGTCAGGTGCACTAACAATGTCTTGAAAGTTACTGGAATTGGCTTGAGAAATAATCTCTTCCCACATCTTCCTCTAGGTCTTCAGCTCAGTTATAGCCTAGAGGCAACGACTGCTAAATCTGCATTTGTTTCTGTTAATTTTATATTCTACACTGATATCTCAAGGTGTCACTTCTTCCTTCAACCAAATCTTCAGAAAAGCTGCTCCCATTGTAAAACAGAAAATTTAAATTGTAAAAGCTGCCCCTGGAAATTCTATGTGTCCTCAAAGCATCCTCATGCAGTTAAATGAACAGGTGCATACAAAATAAAGGTGTCATTGCCTCAGTGAAAGAAACTAATCTGTGGTAAGAATGAGAATGGTCCTTTCATGTATCTATTTAAAGTAAACCCAGTCTTGAATATTCAAATAAGTGAGATGATATTCAGAGATTGCTTTCTCCTGTCTTTCAACTCGCACAAGTTCTAGTTAAATTAAAAAACAACAGCACGTGGAAATTTCTCTGAGCTGCCCTCAAAGACAGAAGGGAAGATGAATTTTGGAGGCTTCCTCTTTTCTACTTTGTGAGAATTCATACGCGAAGTGACCCTTTCTTCAGATCTGGTAAGTGATTCGCTAAAAACTGCAGTTCCCTGTTTTCAGTGCTCAAACTTCAGTTTGTTAGCCTGACTCAGGCTCTTTATTTAGGAAGAGACTAACAGCACAGTAACATAGTTACCCTAGTTATCCTAAAGACAGACTTTTGCTCTTCCAGGGGGATGAAGAAAGACAAAGAAAACTGCACTGTCAGAGTAAAGGTCCAGTATCCTGTCACCAAAATACAGGTGCTTCTCAGGGATGCAGAACAGTCTAAGAAGCAAGGCATGTATGAGGTGATGTGTAGGCACTTAGAAACAGACATGAAATGCGTTGATAAATCCTACACAAAGCTTTATCCAGTGCTCCTGAACGCAATCCTCTATCAACAGAGGTCTACGTGGTTGAGTCAGTGAAATAAGAGCAAATGAAAATGAGAAGAGGTTATGCTGTACCTAGTATCCTTTGCTGTTCTAGCCTTTTGACATGTAACATTGCACAGGGTAAAAAGAAAGGAGTCTAGTCCATCATCATCTCCTCTCCACTGTTATGGGCAACTAAGAAACAATGGCATTGTCTATTCATTCCTATGAGATACTGCAATATATGTTCTCCCAGGAAGAACTCAAAAAAGACTAGGTCTCTTCCCTAAAAGGCATTTTCTTTTTTTTTTTTTTTTCTCCAATGAAATCACAGGTAATAGTTTCGTCTCACAGCTATCATCCTTTTTGGGAAATCACATTCCGTCAACGGGGCATGCTGCAGGACTGTGCAAATGAGAAATGGTTCATTTACTGAAAGCTGAACACTGTGAGAAATGGAACCGCAAAGTTCTTTCTATCGTTTACAACTTTAACGTCTTCTTATGAAACTTCATGAAAACCTGTTAAATGTTATTATAACTATATTAATCAGATAGTGAAGTAGCAGATACTTTAAGAAATGTCTTTAGAAAAATTCCTTCGTCTGGAAACATGGACTTCATAGGCCTCCATATCGTGGGGATAAAGCTGCCTATACCAGTCTGCTGATAGCAGAAGAGGTACCTACTGTCAACACAACGTCCATTCATGAGTCTCATGCCTTGTGTTTCACTGGAAAGCTTTCTCACCAGAGGTGGCCAGGGAAATGAAAGATTTTAGAAGATTTAATAGGATTTTTATGTCATGCAACGCAAACAGAAAAAAAATAATAATATCGTTTTCAAAGCAAGTATTTCTGCTGGTTTTCATTTGGTTTGAGCATTGATGCCAACTTCTAGTCAACCTATAAGTCAACAGTAGATTTTTATCATTTCTCCTTGTATTGTTTATGATATTGTACCTATGAAACTTTTCTGAGCATGGAATAGAGTGGAATTAATTTTCTGTGGTGCGTCACGATGGTTTAGATTAGCGTGCATACAATACTTCCCGCATTGCCTTTCGAATGCTGCACCGTTGACTGCATGGGGTTGGCACAGTTAGTCCAAGCGTTCAGCAGTCACAGCTCTGGGTGCTGCCAGTGACAGCTGTGGCTGCTGGAAACTTCTTAACAGCCATAGCAACAAACACAAATATGTACAATTCTTAGTTAGCAAAGTACGCAACTAACACTTGTGCACATGGTCAGTGGTTAGCACAGCATCTGGCTACAGCAATAAACTGAAACACTAGTTAAGGCCTTTATCTTTGCTTAGTCTCATTTTGGCTTCCTAAAGTGTAAGAAAAAGAGTAGTTTCCTATTTACTTCACGGGCATGCTAAAGCCATTTTTTTTCCCACATATGCCCGGGGCTGTCAGCAGTGAAGAAGCTACCTTAAGCTACTGTTTCTTTATTGAAAAATAGTCTTTGGCTGCTTTCCACTTAGCACAAGAGCTACCAAAGAGATATCTCAACAGCACTGATATCGCACCAGCTTCCTGAAATATGGGAAGAATTCACAATTTTGAGTTTGTGTTCAAAATAAGTCTTGACACTAAAAAGTAAACCATGCTTCAATTTTGCAGTCCAGCAAACCAGGGGAGATAAAGAAAACATTTTATGAATGCATCCTTGTCCAGTTCTACTAGATTTTAATCTTTCACGCATTCAGCAGGGTAAACTGTTTTGTTACTCAGCGAGCTCTTAACACTTTAATGCAAATTTTGTGATATTTTCTTAGCTACTTACAAAAATACTTACTTTCGTCTTTCTGCCTCAAATTTACTCAGTAGTTTTCGGAGACCACCATTCTTAAACCCTTGGAAATGTGCTGCCGGGGCTCCCACAGTGATGACATCGTACAGAGCATCTAGAACAGGAACAGACAAGCACAGAGATTTGAATGCACCTACGCCGAAGGTATGGAAACACTACAATATCTACTTCACAGGATGTGAGGACAACAAGTCTACATTATTTCCAAGGAATAATCGAGAATCTGTGTCTCAAGCAGGCCCAAGGGCTAATCAATCTTCCTATACAGCCACCTGCATACCTTAGAAAGTTTATCTGATTTATTGCTACATCTAAATTATATACCGCAATGTAGAATAACATTCTAGCTCCGCAGTTTACAAAGCTGCCATGTAAATTGGCCCTTTGTGTACTTCACTTTATTGCCCCTTCCATTATTTAACTTGTAGTCATGTTGAGATACACAGATTCATGCATTTTAGAGTCTAAAGAGACCATTATGATGGAATAGTTTGACTGCCTGAATAATACAGGCTACAGAATTACAGCTGATTCCTGCATCAAGATTATGTCTTCTGGTTGAGTGAAGGCATTTTTTTTCTTTTTTTTTTTTATTTAAAAACAAACCCAAAACAACAACCAAAAAACCCCCACAACACAAAGAAACATCTAATCTTGATTTAAAGATTTCAAGTGACAGTGACAATAAATGCATTCCCAGAGAAGTTGCTCCAATGATTAATCAGACTGGTAAAAACCTCAATTTCTTTTCTAGTTTGAATTTGTTTAGCTTCCACTTTCAGATATAATTACCTGTTTAATGACAAACTGAAGAGCCCTCTTCTATGACATATGCTTACTTTTTGTATATGCTTATAAACACAGAGCAAGTCAGCTGTTTTCACCTGAAAAGCTACCAGAATGGGAAATACACTATACTATTGAAATTCTTGCCGAGACAACAAACTGTTGTTACTCTCTGTGTGTACATGATGTCTTGTGACATAAGGGATGAACTTTTTCTATGGATGTATGCTTAAAGAACTGGAAATGGAACATCTTTTTAAAAAGAGCCTCTCATTTTGTGCATGTGACTGACTGTCAGCGCAGAGATGAAGATTTAATTACATCCCAAACCACAATAATTATTCCTTCAAAGTCTAAAGATTACATTTGTAGAATTTACGTTTGCACTAAGCAGTACCTGTTTTGTGCACAAGTTTATTGGAGGTATAAAAATACAGGTCAGAATGCCTCATTCTTAAAATGTATTTCTAAAGGAAGCATTAGAGGATTTTTTTGTGTGAACTGTTTTATTCATCAAGGAGGCCTTCCATGTAAATTAAAAGCTAATCCTTGCCTAAAATAGAACTTTTCTTGCATTCTGATGGTAAACATCCCTAGAAGCAAGAACACTGTAAAAGTGCTTCACAGTTAATGAACTATGCTTTACTTCCAGAGTTGAATCTCAAAGCATATTCGCTCAAATTGATTTGAACTCTAATGAATTGTTGACTCCTCAATAAAAGGAGAAGTGACATAATTTCATTAGCCTAAGGTGAGCTTCAAGGTTCTTAAATAGCTCATTTTTTCATGTCTTCACAGAGGTTTATCCATAATACATAAACCTGGGCTATTAGAACTCCATCAGTACTTGACAATAAGTAGTTCTATTGCTTAAAACATCAGTGGCTTGAAACCAAAATAAGAGATGAACCCATCAGGTTAACTGAATAATGGTTTCTGATTATGTTTAGAGATAACTCATGAAATTACAGGAAAACATTTAAAAGACTAAACCCTGGTGCTTTTTCAAACTCTCAGAAAATAGATAGTGACCCTGCTTATAGCTACTTTGGGGGTGATTTACCCAGAAAGAAGATTTCATTCATCCTGTGGCCTCTTCTCAGCATGCTCAAGTAGCAGCTGTTTGAGGCACAAACACCCAGAACAGATGAGCACCCATCCTGTGCAAGCAAACATGGGAGAGTGAGGATGGCAAAGAGGAGGAAGATTTCTACGACCCTGGTGATGGGCACAGGGCAGTCTCACTCCCACTTTCCAGACCACAGTACACCAGAAAGTGCTGCAAGACTCAGGAGGAATGCCTTGTGATGTGCTCCACTTACACATCACCGCGGCTCCTTGTGAAGGACATGCAGCGTCAGCATAAGTGCCCTGGTACAGGAATGCTCCAATAACTCACAACCGTCATCTGCTTCAAGAACAGACTACGACTGACAACCCTCTACAGTGGAGGCAAAGCTTAAAATGCAGCAGAAAGTCAGAGGAGCTGTATCATCTCGTCAGTGTGCTCCCCCCAAATTACTAATAGATATAAAAGCCCCCAACCTTTCCTCACATACTTCAGAATTTGAAGGAAGAAAATGCAAAAGATTAGAGTGCAAGGAAACCGAGATTTAAATCAATCGTTCATGTTAATTATTCTGATTCAAAGATACACTCACCTTCTGCTTATACAAGAGAAACAGTAACACCAATTACACACTCACCAAAACTCAACAATTCCTTCACCATGCAGAAACATAAACTACCTGATCATCACTCCTTCCTGAACAAAGCACAAAGGTTTTGCAACATGGTGACAATCATAGCGACATGGTAGAATTTCCATAGACCTATGCTTTACCAAACCAATTAAAAAAGCTGAGGGATTTTTATGACTAGCATAGCTCAATCTTGAGTTTGAAACAACCTGCTTGCCTTCATAGGAGGCAGTGTCACACACTGGACAGAAGCAAAATAAAAATCTCTCCAGTTCACTGAATTTATTTAAAACTAGCACACTTAATGTATAAATTAGGGACAAAAGCAAAGCTATGGCAATATAACATATATTTTCTATTCCGTGCCAGTACCCAATAACAACCCAAATCAAAGTTCAGTGAAAGTAAACCTATTATTGATCATGTTGAACAGAGAAAGCACATATCCATGTCCATACACATGATAGACAGGATTAAAATCTATCTTGCATTCCCAAAATTAAGACATCTGATAATGTAAGCGTTAGTGACAGCTTTATGGCTCATCAGTTAGTTTAATCACCACCTCTGTGAATGTTTCCGTGTTTTCCTTTTGTGTTTGTTTGGGTTTTTTTTCCCTTTTCTCCTGTCAGTCTCCTGGTTACATTCCAGGTCCCCTTTGATATATGTCAAGCACAGCATGGGATGAGAATGAAAGACCAACTTGATGTCAAAGTGCTGTTTACTCCAGAATGATTAGCAGTTGCTACAAAGTGTTCAAGCTGTATATACTGAATACAAGACACAACTCCTTAGTGCTCAAAAAACAAAACTTATTTCAGTAAACTAAACAGATGGGATAGTGTCTATGTAATAGATACAGACATAATTTATTCAACCAAAGGCAAATAGAATGACAATCTTCAACTACTTTTTATTGTATTGATACTTTAGCGCTACCAAAATATACTAAACATATTGAGGAACCTATTTTGCATATACAGAAATAAAAAGAGCTCCCCATATCTAAGGTGTCAGTCTTCCAAAAATATGTGTAAGCAAAAACTCCCCATTTTAAAGACAAGTTCTCTATTAACATTTCACAATGCCTAAACTTGAGTGTAACAAGAGCAGTGTTATCTAATCCTCATGTCAGTGGAATGAACATGAGCTAAAGAAAAAGGGGAGAGTTTTATAATTTAAACAAAGTTCTAAATTTAGAAGATGATTCTAACATTTGTTTCTTTCTGTATCCTTTTCAATTATGGATTAACTGTATGCCACAAGCAAAGTGGGTTTGGAGGAGAAAGCAGAAAATTCATTAAATACAAACCAAAACTCAAGCAGCGTAAAGGTTGTGGGTGATTAAGTAAGTGGCATGTCTCATTTCAATTTTTTGTTTAGCAAATAAACACACAATGCCCTGTTCCCAGAGAGTTTTTCTTGAAAAGACATAAAATTAAGGTTCTGGCTGCCTATAGTCATTACAAATCTACAAATGCTTTTGAGTTAATTAATTAACTTTAAAACATTAGCTAAATTAAAATTTGTGCTGTCCTGTCACTATAAATCCCCATCTTGTTAAAATGTTTGGAGGCACCATTATTTAGTAAAAGAAATAATGAAATATTGAACCAATACAGTATCTGACAATCAGAATTCCCCATGTTCCAACCTGGAAGTGGATGAACATCAGCAGTACACAGTAAAATGCTCCTATAATCATTGTTTGCAGTAACGGTTTTAAAATGTGCTTAGATGCAGAGGGTATAACGCAAAAACATTACAGAGTGTAATTTCTGTGTTTATACAGTGACAGCAAATTTAATAGATCTCAATTTATCAACAAATTATTCACTGTACTATGATTTGCTCATATGCATGTATCATCTTTTACCTGTAAACGATGCTGCTAAAATTATATGCAAACAGCAACAACAGAATTTTGTATTAAACAGAATCACAGACGACATTCCAGAAAATTATCCTCCTTTCCAGAAGGCATTAGAAGTTCACAGTATTTTCATAATAGTGAGATATTTTCACTTAACACTAAGCAAATGCTTACATGGCACAGGGTAGCACTGAATAAGCTGAGGCACAAGCAGCTCATTAAGGCTTCCTAAGAAATAGGATATATTAAGTTTAGAAGTAACACAGTCCTTAATGGAACCGTGCAACTCACATTCCCTAGGCCGGTGAGTTCATCCTGGCAGTCTCTGGGAGGAAATGTGTTGTGCTCTGTGGCTATCTCTGGTGGCACAGTGTGGGGAAAAAAACCCACCTTAGAAACAAGACAGGCAAGACCGGCTTTTACACTACACTGACATTAAAAATCACAATGAAAAATTAAGCCAGTGCCCTAGAAGGACGTGAATCTTATTGAACATTGTGCATTGTGTCAGTATGAATCATGACTGTATTAGTTCTGCTCTGTTATAACAGAGTATTTTTAACCATGCATAGGTTACCAATGCATTTCAGTGAACATAATTCTGCATTTACTTATTTCTTTGAAGTGTCACAGAAACAAAATAAGCACAACACCCCTGGAATTTATTTTAAAAAAAGAACTCGGAAGAAATTTAGTTAACCACTCCTTAGGTTTCCAAGACCTGCAGTCAGTATCCAAAACTTGTGCCTTCATAAAATAAGACAGAGAAATCCCTTGCATAGCTTTAACTTTGGACCCAATTCCTAAATTTCAGCATAGACTCAAGACTTCCGATCAGTCTCAGTAGCAGTACATCTGGATGCAGGTTTCAGAATTTGTAAGGTAATGTAGAGGACAGGGAAACTTCATCACTTCTTTCATCTCATGTGTTACTTAAGGGTGCTCCTCTATGGACAGTACATACTCAGTTGCTCTAGAAATATTCCAAACATCCAAAACTGAAGGCTTGGGTTTTAGAAGCAGATGCCCAGGCCTGAGAGAATGAAATCAAACCCGTCAGGAAGACAGGCAGATTCCAGATACGTACACAAAACAGAGGCAGAAAATAACCACACAGAAAGTTTCTAGGGCCCATTAAACAGTCTGTACAGCAGTACAGAATTTTAAATAATGAATTTGGCAGCTTGATTTTGATTTTATTAAAAAACCAAACTAACCAAACCAACCAAAAAGCTAAGCAACAATCTAGTCATACAAGAAACTTTCTATATCAAGCCGTGCTACATGAATCTTACAACCAAGCTAATACTGTCCAAACCAGTGATTGGCAAAACACATGCAACATGAAATCAATCTCAGAATTTTCTTTAAAAGTCGCTGTATGTCCTGCAATTTTTTTTTTCTTGTCAGCATTATTCCAAATCCATGTAAACCCAAATTACACATACAGTTATTATACTAAAAAAAAAAAAAAAAAAAAAAAAAAAAAAAAAAAAACTTTCTGTGTTTTTTATTTGTGGCATCTTTACGTGCCACCTACAAAGTTTAACATGTTTGTTGCCAGTATCCTACCATTAAGTGAAGAATTCAAAATGGCCAATAACTCTCTAACACCATACCTTTCAGTTCTACTGTGGTTTTAAGGTTTCATCTGAAAGCTTGTCCACCTAATGTTCATCCTTGAAACTGGATACATAAATTAAGAAATTTACAGGTTAACAAGAGCTAAAATGGCAACCATACCACTCGGTTGCAAGTTTAACTGTATTTCAAAGCATACTTTGTCATACGTGGGGAATTTCTCTGCAGAATATACATTACCTTTCAATCGAGGACTATGCACGTGCATTCTTTGCAGATGAAGATTAATTGGGATGAATTCTAATGTTTTTTCTCCTTTGCTACAGCTTGATTTGAAGGAAGAACCTGAAAAACCAAATTTTAAAGAATCATTATTTTAAGCACCCAGCAGATGTTTTCTCTTCTTTTTAATGCAAGGACAATACTTGCATGTTAGGAGTCGTCTTTAATTTACTTTTAATGTGTAATTGTATACTAGGAGAAGAATGGTTCACTAACCGAGTCTCAGCATGTATCCATATTGGAAGCAACAAAACAGCTTTTAATTCACAAAACAATATAATTTTTTATTCTAGGTGATAGACATTTTTACTGCTGTCTGAAATTGGTCTGCACTCTGCTGGAAACAATGTCACAGTTAATGTGCGTTATGGTTATCCTGTGCTAAAAACACAGGGATACAGAGCTATGATGGTACTACACTTACACCAAGAAACATTTTTTTCCTAAACCAAAAGTATTACATTGAGTAGGCTACGCATTCTTCCTAGAAAGTTCAAATAAAGAAACATAAACCATCTTAAGAAGTGCTACAAATTAGTTTTCCTTCTAAAAAGCCAGAATCACAAGCAGCACAAAAAAGCTGGGAAAAAAATTTAATCTGATTGCGTACTTCAAAAATATAAGATTATGAGTAACTCTTCGGTGGTATAAAGGAATATAATTAAAGCCTGACAGTTTGGAAATGTAATTTACCTGGAGATATTTGATACAGTTTATATATAAAATAAAAGGGTGTAGATTAGGAAAGAGAGGTGGTCCTATCTTCTCATTCAGACAGCCCAACATTTACTTAGATGATTTTTTCAGCACCCTATCATTTTGCCAACTATTAATCATTTTGACTACAGTTCCTCTGATTCAGATTGGATTTAAAGAAAAATAACATTGGAAAGGTCCAACCTTTTCTTGGAAAAAAAAAAAAAAAAAAGAGAGAGATAAAGGAAATATTTGAAATTATTCTTTTTGACTTGCTCGACTAAGATTTGCTAGAGGTTTTCTGTTGAAATTGCCATAGATTCCAACAGGACTAAGTACTGAGCCTCCCAGTGCAAATCACATTGCCACAGGGCACCAATGATTCTCCAAGACCAGCCAAGCCTTCTTAGGCTGCTAACTAAGTTTAGTAACTTCAAATAATAATTTAACAAAGATTAATAGCAAAGGTAGCAAGAAAAGCAATTGACAGGAGTCAAAGATTCAGATTTGATAGGAAACCTGGACATGCAGGCTGAAACCAGGAATCACTGATGATGAGGAATAGCAGTGGGAAACCTGTATCTGGAAGGCACAGAAAGTCAAAATTATGGGAGCAGTGAAGGGAACTCGAACTGTATCAGCCATGAAATATGAATAGTGCCGCTGAGGAGATCGTAAATCATTAGGAGAGGAAACAGAAAGGGGGGACAGATTATTTATGAGATTTCAGCTGAGACCAAGAACAAAGCTTCAGGAATGGTAACTGGATCTGAAAAAAGGAGACACTGGCAGAATAAGAGGAGAATAAGATGACAGCAGATTAAAAGGGACAGGCAAAAGAAGAGTAGGAGGGAGAAGAGGAGAAGAGCCTGCTAGAGGACACTTCTGTCCTGATGTGGAGTAGAACATATACAGCATTGCTGAGTGTTGTTATTCCTCTTTTCAGGGAATAGCTGTGAATCAAGAAACCCTTCCCGTCCAGTGCCAGAAACATATGGGATAATAACCACCCACTGCTATCAGTTACTCTGTTTACTTAGGTATGAGAGATCCATGCAGTGGAATTAATATCTCAATCTGTATTTGACAGTATCCTCCATACGATAAAACTAATCTTCAGTATAGTTTGTTTGTTTTTAAATAACTTGGTAAGTTGTACTTAAGGACCAAGAAATGTATGTTCCCTCTAATAAAATAGTTGCTATTACGGTTGCAAAATTAAACTCTTCAAAGTTAGGAAATACCAGAATATAGATGCAACCTTCATTTGATATCCACCTGGAGAGGAACCGTGAAATAAACTTCCATGGCATATCACACACTAGGTTTTTCCAGCTCACTGAATGTTTAGGGTCTTTGCTGGTAGCTCTAGAAGTAGTGATTCAATATTTTGTTTCCAACTTTTACTTTGGTATCCGGATTCAAATATCTTGCTTAAACCTCCCACAAAGACAGGATTATTAATTTCCTCAAACCTGTCTGCTGCATGCATCACAACAGTTTCTAAGGGCTTTACAAGTATTTATAGAATCATTTTAACTGACTGAGTAAAGGGGTTAGAATTTTATCTGTTCTAATGGTAGAGAATAGCTTGAGGTCAAAGCATTTAAGCAACAGTGCATCAATATGAGATATAAGATATCATTCTGCAGAGCACACATTATAATGCAATATCACATTCCATTTTGGAAGCACAGCTCCCACTGAGCTGAATTACATCCATAAGTACTGAGTACTTCTGCAAAACAGCTTGTATCTATTGCCAGGCTTCCAAAAAAGAAACACACACACTAGCCACATCTGAAGTCTGACGTGTCTACTGTCACATAGGAACTTTGTGACAGAGGCAGGGATGGTCCAGTTCTCCAGAGCAATATTCAGTTTCCTTAAACTCCTCCAAAAGGAGATTGGAGATATTCGCACCTAGATGACTTGCATGGAGTTGGTCCTTCAGAATTGTTTGTGAGAAGATACATATAAAAAGCCCCTTGTTAAAGGAAAGCAATTGTTCAGTGAGTAACAAAGCAAAAATGCTAAACATGTTAACATTGACACTGCTTTTGAGGTACCAAGGAGGGAGAAGAGTGTCACTGAGTGTTAGTGCTTTCACATATCTCTGGCTGCCAACATGGCAGCGAGGCAAAAGCACTCCATGGCTTTCCTAGAGGAATGTGGTCAGTTGACCTTGCCTTAAAATAAGGCTTCCCAAAATAACAACTCCACTCAGAAATTTTGCATCTGAGGCCAGATAACAGAAGTCTGATCTAGTTTAGAAAACGAAGCTTGTCGAGTTCTGAAGCAGAAGTAGTGCTGATCACAAAACCACCCCTGCTCGGATGGGTGGCTGCCTGTTGGGAGCAGATCTGGATCTCCAGTGCAGATGCACAGGTGACTCCAGAGCACTGCACTCCTTAATATGTTTCAGAATGGAGAGAATTGCTTTAACCTGAACTTGGGCAATGTGCTGACAAAGATAAAATAAGAAGCCTACACAGCCCAAACTGTAAAGCAAAATCTTTTCTGGCATGATTCTCTGACAATGGGAAAGTAAAGAAGACTCTGATGAAATATGGTGACTTGAAAAGTCTGAATTCAAGTTGTACTCATATCTCTGATCTTAGCATTTTCTGTCTTGTGAATACTTTAATTTCCAGTCTCTACAATGGTCTCTCATTGTTATTTTTTGTGCAGCTACAGTATGAAGTCAAATATGTCTGTCTTGCTTTTCTTATCAAACACTATAATCTTGTTTTTTAAAGTTATAATGTGTACTGCTTATAGAGAAGAACCATCCCAAATGGGCATGTAAGAGAAATCGGGTCATCTTAAAACTTGAAGGGAATTTTATCCTCATCCACCCTATTGCTTTTAAAAAAAACCCAATACCAACAAACTTCTGAAAACTGTATGCAGAGATCAATCTTTTTCACACAGAATTGCAATTACTTGTAAATTATATAGGCAGAAGAAAATCTAGTTAAAGGCAAGTAATGGACAGCAGAAGCATGTAGGAGTCTGTTCTAGTTTTTCTTTTACTTTTGGGCAGCCAAATCCTACATTGCCTACTGGATCAAAATGCAGATTTAAGGTTTTAGCGTAGCTCTACATATGTATACACAATATATCCCCCTCTATAATTAAAAAATGTTAGACCTCTGTGGAACAACTTTAAAAGGATACTCACTACTCAGAGGATTTATCTAATTTAATTTTTGATTTGATAAGAAAAAAAAAAAATAGTGCAGGATTGAAAGTAAATATTGTCTTCATTAGAAGGACTGGCTTTAGTCCAGTAATGAAGGCTTTAGAATGTGCACATATCCCACTGATCACAACAAAATAAATTTTTCAATGTCAAAGTAACTTTTCATACAAGATTTCCAAGTATAAACAAGTATTTTACCAGCACTGTACTAGTAAGGGGGGGAAAGGGTTGTTGAAGAAATGAGATTTAGTTATTTGCCTGAGCATTGGCCTTAAAATTAACACCACCTCATTATTTCTTATCTCCACTACAATTATTAGGCTGCTTTGGTTTCCTGCTTTGCTTTGTTTTTGGAGAAATGTTCCTACTCTTTTTCATATTTACTGGTGCTGTCCTGAATAATCTCAGGTTCCCTGGTCCACTGCCGTTCTCTCAAACCACAGGTAAGACAGGTCATGTAACATCATTAACCCTTTTCAAATTCACCTGGCACAATACAGGCCTTGCAGGATCTATGCTTAATAGATTACATTGTCTTTTTTTAAATTTAATCTCAAAATGTCATTTCAATATTTTCCTGCAAGTGATAATTATTACATTGATTCCTTCATAATCTGTATTTATTGCCTTGTATATGATACTTTATGGAGTGCTTTCAAAATGCAAATAGCAAAGTATTCAAGAAATATATAAGTTAAAACACAGATACATATGAAGTTTCATACTGGATCAGGAGGTAGTCTGACAAAATCAGAACTGGAATATTGCGATGATGGTAAACAATCATAAATACAAGAATTAACACTTTTGCAACCAAAGGACAAATTTTTAGGCAACATTTAGTGTTAAAGATGAGCTTTTTTCCTCCCCATTTAGGCAGGTGATCAACTGCTCCAAAGTGCTTAGTTTCAGTTAGTCTATAATGGAATATCTCTTTCTTGTGACCAAGAGAGCTCTCCCGGACCAATATGGAATGAGAAATACCATGCTGAGTTCTGTATTAGAAGATGATGGCTAAAGGGTAAAAATACAGTTTTAATGCCTATTTTGGAAGGAAAAGATTTGTGTCTCACCTACTAAATGCAGCAGATTCATTGTAATAAATGCGCTCAATTCTCTATAAGAAGAAATTATTCTGCTCTGCATTTTAGTTGTATATTGAACTAAGATCCATTTCTCAGTACACACAAAAAAATTTTTGTTTCGACTATGTAGAAAGCTAGAAATAATTAAGAAAACACTGAAAATTCTCCATAAATATATACCATATATTCCAAATGCTGTTATCATCATTTATATCTTCGTTCTTACAAATATTCATAACCATATTGTATCCCTTTTTAAGAATTATTCTAGATTGCAAACTTATGTATATATAAGGCCACAGCAGAAACATCTAATGGTGACAATACAGAGCAAAACAGCATATGCAAGCAATAATGGCAGCACGGTCATCAAAAACGCATTTTGAGATGGCGATTGTGAGGACTGGCATTAGAAATCTGACACCAGCAAGAAAGCAGCATTAACAAGAAGGCCTTTGTAGTAATTCAGAACAAATGTGCCCATTTCCTTCCAGAACACCTCAAAAACTAAGGGGGTGGGTGTGTGTGTGTGTGTGTGCACCAGCAGGAAGAGGCAGAAAGACATGCTATAAACAGACAGAAATCTTTGTTTGCTCAAAATACAGTGTTATTCCGGAAATCATTCCGGTAGTCTCACAAAATAGAAAAGAATTATCATAAGTTCCTTGAATGATTTGTGAATAATCAAACGAAAATAAATTCGAAAGAAAAAAATAATTAATTCTGCAGGTTTTTTCTTGTTCTTTTTATAAGAAATACTACAGGAAGAAAAGACCAGCAGCTGCCTTTTCTGCACGTTTGTCGCTGATGCTGTCTTGTTCCACTGGCATGCTGACACTACGATACATTACAGTCCCTGACCACAGGACTCCAGCAGATATTAACTGAACCAGTGCACACAGGAATATAAGACCACTGTCTCCACACGAAAAAAACCCACGGCAGCACATACTGCTATTTCTGGACTGAGGACAGACTGCCCATCCCATACTAATTCTGTGTTTTTCTGGCACAACGTGGGCAACGACAACTACTACACTAAGGATATGCAAAGCACAGCTAAATGTTACTGCTATCCTGTAGACTGTTGAATGTAAATTGTTAGGTTTCAAGAAAAACTGACAAAACTGCCTCTAAGGCTGGTTTCAATAGGCAGATGGTATTCAATACTAGCAGAGCAGTATATTCAGGGGAACATGCAATTAAGACACAAGCATCCCCTTCTCCAATTTCTTTTGGCTGCTCTGTAACCATGGACCATGTTAACTGTGAAAAACTGCTGGAATGAATGAAAAAAAAAATTAGATGAGGAAACAGGACACCTGTGAGTATCTCAGAAATACAAATATTTCATTTTAATGTGTTTTATTTTCTGCTGAATACACCAGTATTTAATAATAATCTAGTTAATTCTTAACTGCTTCAGAAAAGGAGAAGCTACTGTCATAGCATCACAGATTCGTACCTGTATGCTTCCCAAGCTCTGCAAGAGTATCTTGGTACATGCTCAACATCTGATCACAGTGAGCAATAACACTCCTGCGCATATTGTCCCAGTGAGGAGCAAGTTCTCCCAAGTCTTTAAGTTCCTGATTCCTGTAACAAAAGGCAAAAAGGCACAAATTACCTTATTTAATCCATTAACAGTCATCCAAATTAATCCAAAAACAGTTGGTTAAAAAACATCAAAAGCACTTCCGAATTGAAATAAAATCTGGTTTCACGACGCTTGTGAAATCTGCTGATTTCAGCTCTATTTTTTAGCTACACAATAAAGAATGTCAAATTAGTGAATAATACAGTAACTTGTGTTCAAAACTCATTTGGTGCAAATACAACAGCCTGCAAACTGAAATATTATTTCTTCCCTGGAGATAAGAAGGCTTCCAGGCCAGAGAGCTGTGTTCACAGCAAAATAACTTCTTGCAAAGAAATATTAAACACCATTGTAAAGAATACAAAGTTTGCTCCTTTTCCAACACTTGAAGCATAGAGGTTTTGATACACTCGACTCTTTGGATACTTTCATACACATTGTAAACACAGTTCTAGCAGTGTTTCTACAAAAGTCAGTTTAACCAACATACCAGCCCTCACCACATTTCTTTAGTGCTCAAAACAAAACACACAAACCAAAAAAAACTCACCAGTCCCCTAACACTTTATCTTCAGCCTTACAGCTGTGTTCATCAGGTCAAAACAGCCCTGTTATAGTAACCAAACATGTCACTGAAAATCCGAAAGGAAATCCTTTAGCAAATTATCAGTTTTCCTGTACACTCTTGAGAGCTGACCTGAGCGAAATAGAGATCACTTTAATTTCCTACACAAACAAGCATAGTTACAGTACAATGGGCTTTCTGTTTGTTCCTCCCCCTGCAAAGTTCATCCTATATCTATCCCAGAGACACTTTGGGGACCTGATTTTAAAGAAACTGAAAATGAAAGATCTCGTATTCAAACAGTTGGAATTGTTCAGGACAAAACTCCTGCAACACAACCAACTAGTTTTCCTCACTTTCCTCAAAGTATCAAGCAGACTGTTTCACTGCTATTCTTCAAAGGCTCAAAAAAGACATCCTGAGAACAGCTCTTGCATATAGGAAAATTAGTGAAGAAAAAGGAAAAACAGGGTAAGAGGCCGTGGAAAGAGGGAGGAAAAAGACCAATGACACTGCAGCACAGGAAGACAGAACTGCACTTACTGCGACAGTTATGACCACTAGCCAAAAAAAAAAAAAAAAAAATCTTAAAATTATTTCTTAAACAGAAAAGCCCCCCACTGATACACTGATGTTTTCTCCATCATTATTAACTTTGCAATAGAGTGAACAGTGTTAGTATAAGCTATATAAGCATAATTCTGCTCTTGGTTAATACAACAACCAAATTCAAACAGATTGCAGTTGAAGCAGAATTAAAGCATTTTGTTTATACATGCCCTTGAAAGTATCAAAATGGAAACAGATTACAACACATGGACTCAGTAGGAGTTTATACTAATGACATGATGACTTTTTTTCCTATTTCATTCAAGTCAAAAAATAGAAGTAGATTAAACAGTTCAACTTTCCTCCATCGATACAAACTGGCAATGCTGTAGCATAAGAATCATCAACAGTAAGAGGACAAAGCCATTTTCAACCATCATTTTCCTTGCAAGCTTTTAGCAACTTAAAATATAAAAGGACATCCCATTTAATGAAAATCTCAAGGCTTCCTCCTAACAAAAGTTTGTAATGTTTGACAGAGTATGCAATTTTATGCATTTTCAGTGAAGATATTTTGGCCCTTAATATTTATGTTGTCTTCAGTAGTTTTAGGAACAACATTTGGACCTGGCTGAGCTTCAAAACTTTACTGCTCCTCCTGCGAAGATCGGAGAAATAATACACAGTGAGAGGTGGGCATATCAACACACCACAGAGCCCTCTGTCCCATGGAAAACCTACTGCTGGGGCTCTGGTCTCTCTAGCAAAGCCTGCTCCTGTAGCTGTTGGTTGCATGCTCAAGTCAAGCAACAGCAGGAGTAGAAACTCCTTATCTCAGAGTAAAACATCCAACCAAAAACCAAAACTGGTTTAACTGGCTGACTATGAGTTAACTCCATTGACACTAACAGCAGCTGGAAGGGAAAGCTCAAATCCCATCATATTAACTTTAACATGTTTTCAAGGAATGTCAAATCCTGATCTTACCATTGTCGAGGAAGCTTATATTTGTTTCATCTCAAAACCACATACACATCATTGCAGTCAAAATACAGCCACCAGTATGTCACAAAAAGACGCATCTGCAGTGTTTTAATACAGTAAGCGTGCAGTTTTATAGTAATCTAGAGCAAATATGTGAGAAACTGAAACGTCAAATGATTTGTCCCAAAACTTGCTTGTGTGTGTGCTTCAAGTCACGGGGTGGTGTCAGTAAGACCTTGAACAAATCTCAAGGACAAACTGTGGCCTTCGGTTAGTCTAAGGAATGTCACCCAAAGAAGCAGGAGTGTATGGAAGGATGCAACCCCCCACTGCCTTGCAGTTGCATTGTCAAACTCCTTAGATAAGCCTCAAAGGGGGAGGCATGGACTCAGTGAAACCAAATGTTTCCCCTCAAGCACAAGTACCTCTAATCACTGGCTCCATTGTGTAAGCCCAAAACTTTGTGGCTCTATTGTGTATGCCAGACACCATGCCCGCCTTACTAACGACTTCCTGTCTTCGCCACTGAACTGATAAGAGGTGAGCATTTCTGCCCCAGAAGCCAGATGACTGCTCAGGAAGCATGAAGTCATCAAAAACCTGTGGGAACAGAGGAAAAACTAAAGGTGGGCAGGGTGAGTACGACCACTGTGTCTATTGGACAAGGGGTGGTACACCCTGTTTCCGCCTCAATACATGTGCAGAACGCATGCTCCACCTTTTTCCCCATCTCTCATGGAAATGAGTTTGTGGAATACTTGCCCCTCCTTGTCTAGTATGCGATTCAGCTGATAAAATGAACTTAAAAGGCAACAGAAAACTTTGCTCTGTGTGCACCCACCAGTGAAGAACTGAAGACTGAGGACCAACGGGGCACTGCTGGATCCATGGTGGTGACTATTCTTGTGACTCTATCCTGGATGCTTGCTTGATTTCTGTCTTTTCCTTCCATTCTGTCCTATCGCTACCACTCTTCACCTTTAATAATAAAATCTGTTTGGGGTGTTCAACATTTGACCTTGTTTGAGTCTTAATCTCACTCTTGAGATCATATCAAAGCTTCCCCCGACATTGGATCGGGGCAATATATAGCATGGAAATGTTAAATACTACCTTCTCTAAATTTATTTTCACTTGAAAATAGAGCAAAATCAAACTCATGATATAACAGGATTATATGGCATAGACACTACTCTTCCAAAAACAGCCTTCTTGCACATTTTCTTTTTTTCAAATACAAATATATGACATGGGATTTAGAAAATATTTTTGCCTTGTGATGTCTTATTACTTGTCACTGCTGTTGTTGATTCAGTACAACTTTGGATTATGACTGCAATAAGAATTATCTTTCATATATCTAAGCTTCATCAACAACATTCCATAGTACCAAGCTTTATTATCATTATCGTGAAGGGGCCCTCCCAAAAGTAAACAGACTGGAAGAAACATAAATTCAAATGTGGAAGCTTATAGTTCTTGCTAATACCCACAGCAACAATCTTAAAAAAAAAATAAATAAATAAATTGTATTTGTTTTAATAGTTCTATTATACCAGAAATTATTTCATTGAATAACTTTAAAAACACATTTCAACCAGTAATCATGTCAAACAACAATTGTGCTATAAAAGAAAATTAATATTTATAACATATATTGGTTCTACAGAGGGCAAGTTGGTTACTGATTCACCTTTTCAATGCAGCCACGGAATTTTGAATAGTTTGTCAACACAGCAGTAAACTCAGAGCAAACTCAATATTGTTAAAAGAGAGCTATTTATCATCTTTTTCTCCTACTCCAAATCCTGTCTTTTCCAGGTAATTGCACTCATCACCACGACAGACACTGTGCTCAGCATCAACTTCAACTCTTCATACAGAATCAAATCCAAGCTTCGTTTGCGTCTTTCTGTTCAGCTCCTCAAACTGTCTCCTGGACAGTTTTTAATGTCAGTGCACAATGGAAATCTCCACCCAGGAGCACGTCTCAGTTTTCATTGTCTCCTTGGTGTCCTTGACATAATTTTGCCCCATTTGTATGTAACCAGAATATGGACGTAAACAATCTGTCCCATCCGTCCTCCTCCTCCACTTCAAACATTAGCTAATTAGCTGATTTTTAAGCCTTTCTCAGGTACTTTCTGATTTTCATATCCACTTTTTTTTCATTTAGCAGACCAATTATACCAGCTTTCGCCAAGCATTTCCCATTATGGTTGGAAGCAGTACCCCATTAAAAATATCTAAAATCTACCTGTTAGCCTTTTCTTCAAAACTCTTTTTTTGCCATTGTGGGAGAAAAATACAATGTTGGATTCTGCTCTGCTGAAAGCACTATATGCCACACTGATTGTTAGTATAAAGATTAATGATCACTGGTGCTAACACAACACAATTTTAAAGAGATGAAAAATTCTAAGAATAAGTTATGAGACTCCTCAGGATCCCACAGCACTTATTAGAAATGTCATGAATGTCCTTCCAGGCTCCTACCAACAACTTCTTTTACTCAGACTGATTTTCATAGTTACAATTGGTGGGTGCTTTGCCCTCTAGAGGACTTTAGCTTTGCCCAGCCTTCCCCTGCTGATGGCAAGCACTATTACTGACAAGCTGTTACACCGGTACGCAGGATGATTTAGGAGGCTCTGTACCTGGACTGAAACATCTGTGCTTTCCTTTATGCACAACTACATCAAGGCAACCAGAGATCTGTAAACACTGCATGATTGAATACATTTCTGACATTACTAGCCCTTAAATACTGTTGCCATTAGAGTTGACGTAAAACTTTATGCTATGTTTTTGTTCCAAGAAGATGTTTGATGAAGCCCATTATCAAATGATGGTCGAGCACCCAAGGCTGAAATTAATATTCTGTCTTTTGATTTACCAACT